ACCGCTCCGACGAAACGTTAGCACGCGTCATATTTGAAAATTTAACCCGTTCAAACACAATTTTCTCGAAAACTTCTTTTTTAACGCATGCTAACCTGCGTTAGGGTATCAAAATTATTTCATGGGATAGCTTATCCATTGGAATAATGAGCTAATTTTCACATATGTGATAGATTTCAGCAGTCTGAAGAACTTTGTCACTTGGTCTAATACCAACTTCGGCTTCTGAGAGACGGTAGACGTTTGTCTCTGAGCATTCCAGTGTATTTCAGTGGAGTGTCTTTATTTACCCCGTAGAAATTACACGAGTGTCTCTAATTACCCCAAAGCATTAAAAAGAAAAACATTCTGGTGCTGTTGATTATATGCTAATTAGCTTAATGAGTTTAAATGATAATGAGCTCAAAACTATAGGTAGAGAGAGGAAGCTCCGGGCTATAAAACGACGTATTTTTGAACTAATTATCTCCTAAGCTTAATTAACCAGCAATTGTACATTAAAACTCCATGTGTTCGAATGGAGTGTCTCTATTTACCCCAAGCGTACAAGTGAAGTGTCTTCAATTACCCCGTACGGGGTAATTAGAGACACTCTGAGGGAACACTTCGCATTCTGGATCAGGCTCAGAATTGGCCGGAGATTTTTACATGCGCGTGTAGAAAAATGTTCGGTCGACCACCGTGTTCAATAGCAAGTTTTTCCAATCAAAAATGGAAAAGAAATAGCAGAAAAGGATGAAAATTTCAAAGAGTGTCTCTAATTACCCCGAAGTACTCTACTCATTAAAATATAAAAAATCTGATCTAACAAGTCTTCATCCATACTCTTTTTGCCCTTCAATGTAAAACAAAGGTGTTAGAGCAATTTCTATTGAATTAAAAACCGCAAAATACTCTTGTTTATCTAAACGACATATTTCCCTATATAAAATCTCCAGAGCGCATAAATCATAGTTATTTATTGATCAGAGTTATAATTGATAAGATTTAGTTCAGATTTGAGGAGTTCTATAGTTTCTCGAATAGAGTACTTGACTACTGTTTGTTGGTATCTAACCTTGTCGTGATACTTCCGAATGCTATACATTTGACTAGCAGTTATCAACTGCTTTATTACTAATCGAAACTTGGGGACAGAGCTCGGACGAAAGTATTTGTACTTGTACTTTTTGTACTTTCTCGAGTAAAAGTATAAGTGCGAAGTATATTCTTCAAAGTATAAGTAAAATACTTTTACTTTGAGAAAAATACTTGTACTTTTACTTAAGGGGGGAGTCCACACCCCGAACTTTTATGATTCGATAGGGTCAATCGATAGAGAACATTTTTTTACATATCTCATAAAATTTTCACGTTATTTGGTTGGACCTTTCCTGGATTATGGCCGATGCAAGGTCTATTTTTTGGGTCAAATTTTGCTCCATGGATATGCCTCATATTTTGCCAATTTTGGGCAAAAACTGGATGAAAAATATAATTTTTTTATACTAAAAGATAGAGAAAAAAATTCTCTATCTGCTACATATTGATTCAAGTTCAAAACAAGCGTTTATTTTTATAGCATTTCAGGTCGAATAATCCGTTTTTAACAGCCATTTTTTGTGTTCCAACCGATTTCAGTCGTTTTTTTATAACTTTGATCGTACATAAAAATTTTTTTACATATTGAATAGAGAATTTCAAAGGCTACAACTTTTCTATCGGCCATATTTCTCGATATCACTTTATTTTATTGGTAAAAGCCTTGTTTTGTTGTCGTTTAAAAATGTTGCCCTGAGAAAAAGATGAAATTCTGAGGGTCTGCGCAGATGAAAACTTTTCTTTTCGATTTTTTTCTTATTTCATGTAAATGTTCATAATTCCTAACATGAGCACTAGTCGGGAGTAGAGACGGACGAAAGGACAGTAACTAGCGCCATCTAGTGTGCATTTTAGTTTGCATCTTAAGAATGTTTTGTATATACTAAGAGTTGCAACAAATTCATTATTGAATTTTTTTTTCTGGAAATTTCATCTGTTCGTTTTCAGTCATTAAAACTTGCCTCTAGCAGTCAGTAGACAGGTTATAAATTCTTCTACAGAATTCAAAACAACAGCCATTGATATATTACATGTCTTATCAAAGTGATATTGTGAGAATGTCATCCGATGAGAGTTTTTTCGACGAAGCTCTTCACGAATCTTCTCCAATTCGAATGTCTGACCGTGTTCTTCGAGCGTCATTGATCTCAGCTAGATCTGATCGAACAATATCAACGGGCATCACTCCGGGAATCCACTCGTCCGTTAATACTGACCAAAAACCTATTTCTAAAACGCAAAACCCATCGAGCACCTTTCGGAAAATAATATCTTCGGTTGAACAGTGAGTGTGCTGTATTTGATAATAACGGTGAAGGATGTCTACCCTTGTTAGTGCTTCGATTCATGCGATCGAAGAGCGATCAAGTCAAGTTTTTGATATGAATCATCTCAAAGAGTGTATGCACTCTGCTCATCTGTGTCCCGGTGGTCGTCTCGAGCTCATTGTTGATGGCGAAGAGAAGTCAGGTTTATTTCGCAGAAACGGATTACAATGTTCCATTTGCAAAGAGATTACTATTTTGACGAATTTTCCAATTCGGCCGTCATACGAACCACACGAGCCTAAACAACGTTTATACGTGGCAACTGCTATTAGTGGTATCGGTTACGAAGCTACTCGCTTCTAATCGAGTCTGAGTCAGGTTATTGCTTGGATTTTGAAACGTTGAGCAAACGATGTGAAATGTGCGAAACAAAATTACACTCATTAACGTCGACTCAATTTTAAAAATGGGTATATTAAATGGACTTTGTCATATTAGAAGATAAATCGCTGTTTTTCTGTAGTTTGAAATGCATCAAGCACAGTGTTCTAAAACATGGGATGGGAGTGCCGGGGCTATGGAAAAAGAAGGAGCCAAAAAAATCTTCGAAAGGTCTCTCGAGAAAGGTAAACAATCGACTAGTTTTTTACCCACACTGCCATTGATATTTAGGTGTACGCTATAAAAACATGATTTGTGATGGCGATTCCAGTGCGTATGAAACTGTCAAGCACACGTATGTCAATGCACAACTAAGCAATCTTGCACGTGCAGGCTCTGTTGTCGATTTCATGACTGACAATATCAGTGATAATTTGAACAATTCATTCGCGCAGCTTTCTGCAACACAATGCGAGAGTAATCTTGTGATCAAGGAAGACTGCATTAATCATGTCAAAAACGAGTTTCAAGTCATCTTAAAACTTTGAAGAGTCGATATACCGGTTATGAAGATGCAGACAAAGAGAATTTGTCGTCAACAATAATGAAAAATAAACACATCGAAGGAAGAAAGCAGGCAAACACTATGTCAAATACACATTCATCAAACGATGATGATGAGATCCAATCATTGTCACGGCTGGTAAGTAAGAGTCGTCGACGACGACGTCTACCCGATGGTAAACCATACGGTGGTGGTGCTGGTCGTATGACTAAAATGATGGAACACAAGTTGGCAGAACATTACGGTCTCGCAATTCGACAAAGTAGTGAATTAGCTAAAGGTATAATGGTCGTTCTCTGATTGCACGAAATTAGACTTCGTTGTAGACCTCAACGAGAATGATGCTGTAATATTAATCGAACGAAATTGCCGTGGTGCATTTTTGCATAACATGAAGCAGAGCGATCGAGAACTTCAACATGCTCTGTGTCCAAAAGGACCTGAGTCCTGTTGTTCATATCAAAAAGATAAATATCTTTCACCAAACGAAAAAACTGATCCTGTCAAAGATCACAAACGACTTGATGCGGTAAGTGCGACTGTTTTTCTTTTACTTCACATCACGGTTTGATAATGGTTCACAGATTGTTCTCGAGATCCTTTCTCCAATGATTGATGCGCTGACTAATCCAATGCTGTTGTGACGGTGTCTACGAGGAGCTACGCAAAATGCAAACGAATCCATAAATCCCGTTGTGTGGTCGATTCTGCCAAAAGCAAAATATCATGGCTAACGATCGATACGAGGTGCTGCAGCAATTTCATCGCTATTTTTCAACCGTGGTCGATCAGGACTTATCAAATTTTTCGATGAAATTGGCATTTCGATCACAGACGAACTATTGGCTGCTCTTTTGGGAAAAGATTACAAGCGAATGGAAAAAGCTGCGTATAATACTCAACGAAACGAGATTATCAAACAAAAAAAAGAAGAGCAGCGATTTGAAGCAGAGATGGCAGAGGATAAAGAAACACACTATGGTGCCGGAATGTTCTAAATCGTAGTCTTTGTTGAGTAGGAATAAAAATAAGCATATTTCGTACATCAAATGAAAAAAAGTTGTCGTCTGCTGGTTCAACTCCCTTTGTTCATTCCGAAACGCTGCGCACGTTATTTTAAATTGAATAACCGGACAGCTCAATAGTAATCGAAAGGCATTTGTCCTCATTGGTTAAGTCAAACCAGACTCCGTAATAAAATCCGTTAGTATTATATGGAAGAGAGAAAAAAATTGAAAAAAAAAACAACTTTTCTCAGGACAGCATTTTTAAACGACAATAAAACAAGGCTTTTACCAATAAAATAAAGTGATATCGAGAAATATGACCGATAGAAAAGTTGTAGCCCTTGAAATTCTCTATTCAATCATATGTAAAACAATTTTTTATG